TGCCAACAGAAGCATCATGAAAGGAATAAGCAAATTGCAAATCCCGGTTTGAAGAACCTCATAATTTTAACCCACAAGCAATTTGCTTGAGTGGTTTATAAATATAGGTGACATGGGACCGTGTTGCAGGAGTCAGAGTGGCTGAGGCAACCCTAACTCAATTTTCAGTGCTTAGATCAAGCTCCCCTCACCTTTTCACACTGACATCGACAGCAAGGGTAAAGGGAGACCACAAAAGGGTATTAAGTGATGTGTGTACAAGTGACCCTAAACTGAAGCTGGGCAAATGCACAGGAAATGCATCTGATTTCTCTCTTATGACTATCCACCAGGAAATTCTGCCCAGCTTTACATCAGAACTCCCTTCAAAACTAGTTAAGATGGTGTGTGGCACCTACTAGGCAGATACTTATGCTCTCTGGTAGTTCTTTACTTCTTAAATAACACAAAGTTCCTCAGGAAGCCCACAGGAAAGAGACTCCTGATCATGCAGCCTGTTCACTGAATCACTTACTGAGAACGCTGCCCTGAAATGGCATTGGAGAAGATGAAGTCTGAACTGCTGCTGCTGAAAATGGAGCATTCTCTTGTTTTCTTTCCACAGGAGCTTCTTTGTGAGTAGACCCAGCCATGCCCCTTTGATCCAGCAGTTGCTCATTAGAAGTCCATAGGGGACCAGCAAAGCTGGGAGAGATCTAAGTCTCAAGCATGTATGAATACGCTTGGCAGTCTGCAGTGGGGAATAAGGAAAATTCAGAGTTAAGTGCCAGTGGGGGAGTAACAAAGCCCCTTGCAGCTTACAAGTGAATGTGGGAAGGAAGATCAGAAGACTCGGAAGAGGTGCATGGTGTTGTAGGGAGAGGCTCAATGCCACAGCAGCATGCAATTAGGCTGCAACGACACTGCAGAGTGAGTTTTTCCAGAGGTAGATAGAAGGTGAAAGGCATGCCTAGTGGTTAAGCAGAGCTTATCTACTTGTGCTGAATTTGCTACATTTTGATGATTTTTCAAGATGCATGACTAAATAGCAGATCCGTGAACATAGGTCTGGACATGCCCCTAACCATTAGGAGTCAGCCTGCACATAACTGTTAAAGATAACAGCTACCAGTTACCGTTGTGGCATCATCGTATTAAAAAGTAATTAGACAGAAAAATCATTCATAAACAGACATAGGCAGAAGATTTCTGAATGGATAGTTCTATTTGCTGAGAAAACACTGGCAAAGGACAAGAAAACAAAAGTTTGAAAAATATAGCCTGACTCCTGTGGCTTCAGCAGTCCTCCTGAGGATGGAGAACCAGACATAAGAGGTCCTGACAATTGGACGTGCAGCTGTTGCCTCACTGTGTGATCCTGAGAAAGCTGATCTGGGAGGGAGAGACAGCCTTACAACTCCTTCCCATTCCCTCTGCAGAATTATGACCTCAGCCAACAGGGCCTATGGCTTGCATCTGCCCTCAGTCCCTATGACCAGATGGTATCCTCCAAACCCAAGCACCGGGGCAACATCTGTATGGATGCTTAATTATCAAACCCAGGAAATGAAGGCAGCCAGACACAGCTACCTGGGACGTACAGCCAGATCTCAAGGCCTCTCAGACAGATTTGCAACCACACATTAACTTATGATCACCATATGCTGATATAGAACAACACAAATCATAAAATAACTAATTAACCTTGGCATATACGAGAGCTGTCAATAAGAGATTTCAGAGTCCTTCATGAAGTAAGGAAATAGCCCAGCATACAAAGAAGAATCTTTGGCAAAGAGCAGGGGTTTGACTTGCCTCGCATTACTCTGGAGGCTCAGAGAACCATCTCTTGAACTCGCCACGCTGCTTATGCCCCTGGGCAAAAAGGCCTAAAGAGCTGTAGGTTACAGAGCTGGTCATTCCATATTTCATACTAAACATTAACCATCAGACCCACTCATTTCTGTGGTGAAAGTGCATTTTGGTACTCATAGCATCACCTTTCAGCTGGGCTACAGCAACAGAGTGAACAAGAATTTATATTCACTTAAAATTCTCAGCTGCCTTTTGTGAAGCTATAGTTAAACTCCAGTTCCAGTGAGCAACTTTATTCTGTTGAATAAAATTTTATCATGTTGAATAAAATTTCTAAATCTTTTCATTCTTTGAATACTTTTGCTAGTTTCCTGTCTTTAACAGCAATATAACACTGCTATGCATAAATAGATGCTAATTATTATTATTATTGCTGCTTCACAGGTGAAGAATCTAAAGAAAAGGACAACACACACACACACTAAACAGATTCATTGCAGAATTCATTTTAAGGCATAAGTATCAGTTCTGTTTTCTGTCCTCTATGACAAAACATATCTGCACAGTTCTGGGAGCCACTTATGTAGTCAGCACATTCTGCACCCTTTAAGGCTGCACCTTGTGTCTCTGCATTGTAGGGCCTGGAGCTCCCTAGTGTGGTGATTTTTTGTTTATTTAGCTTTAATGGGCACTACAACCAGGCAAAAAAAAAAAAAAAAAAAAAAAGAAAAGAACTAAGTCTGTAAAGTAAGCATTAGATAGTAGGAAGAAATTCTTTTCTTTGAGGGTGGTGAGGCACTGGAATAGGTTACCCAGAGAAGTTGAAGTCCCCTCCCTGAAAGTGTTCAAGGCCAGGCTGGACAGGACTTTGAGCAATCTGGTTAGTGGGAGGTGTCCCTGCCCATGGCAGGGGAGTTGGAACTAGATGATCTTTAAGGGTCCTTCCAACGCAAACCATTCTGTGATTCTAAGTTGGAAAATAAAAACCTACATTTCTTGCAGGTTCTGTCTCAACAGATTGCAAGCAGCCTTTCCTCCAAGATGTCAGAAGTATCCCAGGATAAGATGACCTACTTCTCACCCAGCTCCAAAACACAGCAATTGCCAAATTACTGAGTTTACCAGAAAGAATGGAGACATCTATATATGACAGGCACATGTAATTCTCATGCTGTTAACTGAGGCACATTGAATAGCTACAACTTTTGCATAGTGTCTTAACACCAGCTATTTCTTTAAGAATTTCAGCTCCCATTTTCTGTATCTTGATGCTAGAAACCATCCAAGGGCCTTCTGCTCTTCGGCCTAAAGTGTACCTCCTTTGGGTTTGTATTTGTAATACTTTAGAGAAGGTCAGTAAACACAGGCCTCTGTGAAGAGCAACAGCCACAAAAAAGTCCTGCTTCCTGTGAATGGTTTATTTGAACTGACTCAAATCCTAACTAAATTCTACTGCTGGAAGCGGAAGTGTCAGAACTAGCTATTTAGGCTTTTGATTCATTATCTGGAGAGGTTATGGGGCTGTGAATGAATACGCAGAATCCACCAAGAAAGTTCTTACAGGAAAACCTAAAGATGTTCCCTGAAGGTGTATTGAAAGCAAAATTTAAAATACCCTAGCAGTTTTTTATTAAGATCTCTTATTTGACTTGTGTTTGGAAGGCTGGACAAGGAAGTGGCAGTAAGGAGTTCATTGATATGTAGCAGCAGAAACAAGGAAGAATAGCTCTGAGCTTATGGACATGAAACAGAAATTTTACATATCAAAGTGTAGTAACCAATAACCTTATTTCACTGCTGCGCGCAGAGGTGGGTTTTGGGGTTTTTTTTTGCTTTTGCTAATAACCACACAGCTTACTCCTGAGTTTCCTTCATAATTTTTGAAGTTCTCATTTTCTGTTGTAGTAATTTGATTACTTAACTGCAAAACAGTGGTGTGGCTAACATTATTTTTGTCACTGTACTGCTTGAAACTTCATTCCCTGTTTGTATCCCTGTTTGTACCAATAAAATTCCTTCTTGTTTATTTTTATTTGCTAACACTTACAGAAAGGACTCAGTCATTTTCTTTTTCTCTAATTAGCAAGGATGAAATGAATAGAGAACTATTTTTTCCCAAGAGCCTAAGGAGGTCCCTTGTAAGTGAATTGCTGATTCTGGGATTCACTAGGCATTTTCTTACTAAATTATATAACATTTTTACTACAGAATCTCATCTCACTTAAGATCCATGATGGACCTGTTTGAGGATGAATGGACACTTGTGGCAACAGAGACTATCTGTAATGAATGAAAATGGGGATTCCAGAATGAGAAGTGAAAAGTATCACTGCTAAAGCAGTTGAATTCTATTATGAAGAATTCTATTCTCTCTTTGTGTTTGCCATAAAACACCTATGGAAAGCACAGAAACTGTTTTTATGGAAGGTCACTTTCATTTTGTGCTTTTCTTATCTTTCCTGGCACTGGGTCAAGATCCTGAATTCTGATTTACACAAGTGCTGAATATAATTGAAACACATCTCATCCGGGAGGCTGGGGGAAGGTGGGGGTGAGGAGGAAGGCAGCTTGCCCCCAAAATAATCAGATCTTTGGGAATCTAAAATTAAATATCTTTGGGATAAATTTGTGCTTCTCTGTCCTTCAGTTCTCCCTGAAGCGAAATAACAGCTTTGTTATAATTCAGTGTTTTTGTGAACATGAAAATGAACAAGCACCAAAGATGTCTATTAGAAAAAATGAATACCTTTTTTAAAATGGATTTTAGATGGTGCACATTAAGTAAGGAAAAGGGACTCACACTTCCTGAATACTGCAAATTTTTGTTTGCAGAACACCAATAAGCCATTTTTATTCCTTTGCAGATCACAGAGGGTCATTTTTGTTTCTTATTGAACTGATACATATTTGCATGCTAGCTACATATGTCCTTCCAATTCCTGCTCAGCGCCTATTCAGTGAACCAAAAATGCAGGCACTCCTAGTTTTCCACACCATTTAGATCAAACACGTGATAAATCTGCTGCATCTCCACCTCCTGGATCCCTTCCCTTTCAACAGCAAAATAAAGGCAGGGAGAAGAGGTTTGGCTATGGGCTCTGGCCTGGTAGTCTGTGCTGACCCCAGGTCTCTTCCCCAGACCACTATTACGGATCTGAAGCAATAAAAAAAATACATCAAAAAGAAAAAAAGGTTACTGTGCCCACCTCAGCCAGAGCAGCAGAAAAGTGATTACAGTTCTTGTGCATCAGGTGGTACGCATTTCCTTTGTATTCCTTGCCCAGCTCTTCCATAATCTTATCCACGTCCTCTTCTGTGAAATCTGTGGTGCCCAAGGCAATGGATTCTCTAGTGAAAAACAAAACACACAACAGGAAACGTGGAAAGATACAGTGAAGAGAGTGATACATACCCAGGAAGAAGGAAATGATCAGGCATTGGCAAGGAGGACGGGCTTAAAGTATGGTCATGCATGTCTGGTGCTATCTGAGACTGTCACCAATGAAACGGCACAGTAATATCCCCAGCTTATTCACAAAGCACGTTATAGCACAGGCAATGGTCCCAAGACCTTCCTGATGACTAGCAGGCAAGTCTTAGCTCTGGGAGTTTGCTCCCATTCTGCCCACCACCCCACAACAGGAATTTCCTGCAGAAGCATATCGTTTGTGGAGTTTATTTGGTTTTGTGTTTTGTTTTGGGTTTTTTAATGATTAAGAAGGTTTCCATGGGATGGGCCAGAAAGGAGCAGACTGAAAACTTTATGCAGAAATCTATTGCTTTGTCCAGTGTTCACTCGACAGCACTCATTCTTCTAAAGGTCTCCACCAACTCTCAAAGTCAACTGGCAGTCTAAGTCTCACGTGCCACAGGCAGTTTCTTGACCCACAGCCCCACAACCTGAGCACCTTGAACAACACATCAGTGCAGCATCTTCTTGGCTCCCTTGCGATAAGAGTAGCAATGGACGCAGGAGATGACTTATGATACTCTGTGCAGTATCCACAAATAGGTGATACTTATAAAAGGTTTTGTTTTTCTTCCCCTGTGTATTGGCTCTGCGTAACACACAGTTACTCTCATTCTTGCTGACAACTGAAACTTCGAGCACAGAAAACAAAGAAAATGGGAAAAGAGCAATGCATTTATTTGTAAGTATACTTTTAAACCCTGCCAAACACAGCTCAGCGCTGTTTCCTGTTTTGTGTACATGCTCTTTTATCCACCTCCAAAATCCCTGCAGGGCTGCCTTTGAACCAGGATCGTGTAAAGGATGCAGTGAGGGCTCTTAGGAGGGGACGGAAAGAGGGACGTGGAGGACAGGACCTTCCTGCTCCCTGCCACACTGATGGCTGCCAAGGGCAGAGAGGAAGATACAGAAAAAGGGCCCTTACTTGAATTTAAAGGTCTCGCCAAGTTCTACCGCACTGCCAGGTGTGATCTCGAAAATCCCACTGAAAGGGTAGGGATGCCCTCCATAGGCAAACTCTGACAAGGAAAGAAACAGACTGTGAGTAACTGAATGAACACAATGTCAGGAAAAAGTCTATGGCAGCTGTCTGCACAGCTCAGCATCAGCACCAGGAGCTGGGGTACTGCCAAAATCCATTGCAGCTGGATGCCCTCACAGCCTCCGTCCACACTACCACTGCTGCTTTTCTCACAGTGCCAGGAAAACTCTCCAAGTCTATCTCTATGCCCATCCAGGTGGCTTCTTCTCATTGCAAAATTCATGGTGGAGGCATCTAGATAAACTGTGAGAGGCTGTCGTGGTACTGAGCTGGAAGAATTTTTTTCTAGAGCAGGGAAAAATCAAATCTTCCTCCAGAAAGATTTACAGTCAGCAATTGGGACTCTTTGTGGAAAACCAAGCCAATTGTACTCTGCTGCCACAGGATGCAGGCCAAGCCAGGAGGTCCCTCCATGTCACACAGACCATGTTGCATTGCCTGCGAAGCACCGCCCATGGACCTTGTGGTGTCATACAGACCATCTCACACAGCCTCCTGTGAAAGCTCCTGTGCTTAAGATGGAACATGGCACCCCAGAGGTTTTGTCTACTGTACAGCACTGGCTAAAAATACCATGAGTAGCCCAAGTCATTCCCATGTAATGCTAAAGAAACAAACAAAATCTGTGATGCTGGTCTGTCCCTCACTGCGCTGGAGCTGTTTTCCCAGTTCCCTTGGCTGCCTCTTTTGCAATGGGTGCAGCTTCGACCCCATCCAGACCATTTCCAAAGTCTGACAAGACGTTTTCTTCTCTTTGTAACTCTGTTGTTTCAAAAAAACAGTCTCCAAGATCTGGAAATTCCAATTCTGATATTTCTAAACCATAGACATTCATACATAATTACTGCAAAATAGATTTACCCTGACAGGGAATTAGCACAAACACACAAATGCAGGTCTCAAGACAATCACTTCTCCCTCCCTCATTTCTCCCATTCTGTCTCCCTGTCCTTCACTGCAGAATGCCTTTCCAACATTTCTTGGTCCTTCCCTTTGTGCTACACACCTGCACATGCTACAGAGGCTGCAGTTACTGAAAATAAGAAGGGTACATGATTCATGACAG